ACAACTGGTTACCCGTGCTGCACAGGCTGATACGACACCAGCCCCCGAGACTGCACCGACCCCGGAAGTGTTACCAGCGCCTGCGGTCCTTGGTCGCTCTGTTGAGCCGCGTCTTCCACCTCCGACCAGCTACTCTGGAGAGCCTCTCTTGTGCCGATCCTTCTTGTCTAAGTGTTCCCTTTACATCTCACTGCAGCCGTCATTATTTTCCTCCGAGCAATCAAAGGTGGCGTTCGTCATCACCCTCCTTTCGGGCAAGGCGGCTCAGTGGGGAACAACAGCTTGGGAACAAAAGTTACCATGCTGCTCTACGTTTGACCTGTTCTCAAAAGAACTTAAGAAGGTCTTTGATCGAGCCGCTTCCGGGAGAGAGGCCGCCCGAGTCCTCGCTGAACTCCGCCAGGGGAATCGGAGCGTGGCGGAGTACTCGATTGAGTTCCGAACACTAGCCGCTGAATGCGGCTGGAACGCGGAGGCACAATGGGACATGTTTCTGCACGGATTGTCTGATCGTCTGCAAGATGCGATCTATTCCTTAGATCTTCCTAAGACTCTGGACGAGTTGGTGGATTTGGCCATCCGTGTGGACACCAGACTGCTTCGGCGTGAGACTCGCCTGCAGCAGAGCAGGTATTCGGATTCCGTCCCTGACTTTCCGGCATTGGCTGCGACACCGGAAGTGGTAAGCGTTGACCCGGAACCCATGCAGTTAGGGAGATCCCACTTGTCCGTGCAAGAAAAGCGCCGACGGAGAACGGAGGGACTCTGCCTCTACTGCGGAGGGGCGGGTCATCGGGTGGCTTCCTGTACCGTAAAAGACAACACCCATCAGTAGGTAAGAGGTTACTGATGGGTGAAATTAATTTGGACAAATCCTCTACGACTGTCACTTTACTGCCCATCACTGTATCATGGGGTTACGGAAGTCATGACACCCATGCCCTCGTCGATTCCGGGGCGGAGGGAAATTTCATTGACTCCAGTTTCGCTTTCAGTTCTAAACTTCCGGTTATAGCTCTGTCACAACCCATTGCAGTACGCGCCCTTAGTGGGATTTCCCTTCCCACTATCACTCACTCCACCAAACCCATAAAACTTATCACGTCTGGAAATCATGTTGAACACATTTCATTTTTTTTAACAGACTGTTCTAATTCACCGGTGGTTTTAGGACATCCATGGTTAATTCTTCATAAACCTCACATTAACTGGGGTCTTAATTCCATATTTTCGTGGAGTGAGAAATGTCATGAGTCTTGTCTTTCGTCTGCTCGTTCTGCTGTTTCTTGTTCTGTGTTTCAGGAGGAGCGCATGGACCTGTCAAACGTGCCCAGTGAGTACCTCGACCTGAAGAGAGTGTTCAGTAAGTCTCGAGCTGCTTCTCTGCCTCCTCATCGTCCCTATGACTGTGCAATAGACTTATTGCCAGGTACCTCTCCGCCTAAAGGCAAGTTATACTCTCTTTCTATTCCTGAGAGGGAGGCCATGGAGAAATATATTTCTGATTCTCTAGCGGCCAAGATCATACGGCCCTCTTCTTCTCCGGCGGGGGCGGGGTTCTTTTTCGTGAAAAAGAAGGATGGGTCTCTTAAACCTTGCATAGACTATCGAGGGCTGAACAGCATCACGGTGAAGAATACGTATCCTTTGCCGCTGATGTCTTCAGCGTTCGAGCGTCTGCAAGGGGCTTCGTTTTTCACGAAATTAGATCTCCGCAACGCATATCATTTGGTTCGCATGAAGCAGGGTCATGAGTGGAAAACCGCGTTTTTAACCCCCAGGGGGCATTTTGAATATTGTGTTCTTCCTTTTGGGCTTTCTAATGCTCCTGCGGTTTTCCAAGCACTCGTAAATGACGTGTTGCGAGATATGATAGATCAGTTTATTTATGTCTACCTGGATAACATTCTGATTTTTTCTCGTTCTCTCCAGGAACATGTGCAGCACGTCAGGCGAGTGCTTCAGCGGCTGCTAGAGAATGGGCTTTTTGTCAAGGCGGAGAAATGCGTGTTCCATGCACAGTCTGTTCCCTTTCTAGGACACATTGTGTCAGTCGAGGGGGTGCGCATGGACCCAGAGAAAGTTCAGGCTGTGGTGAATTGGCCAATCCCCGAGTCTCGTAAGGCCCTGCAGAGATTTCTGGGCTTAGCTAATTTTTACCGGCGTTTTATTCGCAATTTCAGCCAGCTCGCCGCCCCTCTGACGTCCTTAACCTCCGCCAAGACGCCCTTCAGGTGGTCGAGTGCAGCACAGGTTGCATTCACTAATCTAAAGAGCCGCTTTGTTTCAGCTCCCATTCTGGTGACACCTGATCCCTCCCGGCAGTTCGTGGTGGAGGTTGACGCGTCAGAGGTGGGGGTGGGCGCGATCCTGTCCCAGCGCGCAGCCTCGGATGACAGAATTCATCCGTGCGCGTTTTTCTCACACCGATTATCTCCCGCAGAACAAAATTACGACATTGGTAATAGGGAGTTGTTGGCTGTCAAACTCGCTTTGGAGGAGTGGCGTCATTGGTTGGAGGGTTCGGGGGTTCCCTTTATCGTTTGGACCGATCATAAGAACCTCGAATACATCAGGTCCGCCAAACGACTTAACTCCAGGCAGGCTCGGTGGGCATTATTTTTCGGACGTTTTGACTTTACCATCTCATATCGACCGGGTTCTAAAAACATCAAACCCGACGCGTTATCCCGTCTTTTTGATTCTTCCGAGCGCAATACGCCTCTTGAGCCCATCGTTCCCCAGAGGATTTGTATTTCTGCAGTAACATGGGAGATCGAGAGCAGGGTCCGCACAGCCCTGGATGGGGTAACGCCCCCGGTTGGATGCCCACCCAGTCGTTTGTTTGTGCCGGAGGAGATTCGGTCTGACGTCATTCGGTGGGGACATTCCTCCAAAGTGGCTTGTCATCCTGGGGTGAGTCGTACCTTATTTTTGGTTAAACAGCGATTTTGGTGGCCAGCTATGGCACGGGACATACGCGAGTTTGTTTTGGCCTGTTCCGTTTGTGCTGTTTCTAAGACTTCTAATCGCCCCCCTGCTGGACTCCTTCAGCCGCTGTCAGTGCCTTCGAGACCCTGGTCGCACATTTCGCTAGATTTCGTCACTGGTCTCCCGCCATCTGGTGGCAATACGGCTGTTTTGACCGTTGTGGACCGGTTCTCGAAGGCTACTCATTTCATTCCTCTGCCTAAATTACCCTCAGCCAGAGAGACAGCGGAGGCTGTCATTAATCACGTCTTTCGCATTCATGGCCTCCCGACGGACGTGGTTTCTGACAGGGGACCCCAGTTTGTCTCTAAATTTTGGAGAGAATTCTGTTATTTATTGGGAGCGACTGTAAGTCTTTCTTCTGGCTTTCATCCTCAGAGTAACGGACAAACAGAGAGGGCCAATCAAGATCTCGAGCGCATGTTACGTTGTTTGGTTTCCCAAAATCCCTCCTCTTGGAGTCAGCAGCTCCCATGGGTGGAGTACGCACACAATTCATTACCAGTGTCGGCTACGGGCCTCTCTCCGTTTCAGTGTAGTTTAGGATACCAGCCACCAGCTTTTCCCAGTCTGGAATCCGAAATCGCGGTCCCCTCTGCCCACGCCTTTGTCCAGAGGTGCCGACGCACTTGGAGCAGAGCCAGACAGACCCTCCTCCAAGTGGGTGCGCGCACCAAGGCTAAAGCCGATCGCCACCGGTCGAAGCCTCCCGTTTACGTCGTCGGTCAAAAAGTGTGGCTTTCAACTAAGAATATTCCTTTGCGTTCCGTATGTAATAAACTTGCACCTAAATTTATTGGCCCATTCACTGTCATCAAGATCATTAGTCCGGTGGCAGTCCGCCTCAAACTTCCTCCAGCGTACAGGAGAATACATCCCGTGTTTCATGTTTCCAAATTAAAGCCCGTTTTTCATACGGCCATTAACCCGCCCTCACCGGTTCCCCCCCCGCCGCGTCTCGTAGATGGGGAGACCGTTTATTCGGTTAAGCGCATTCTGGACTCGAGACGGAGGGGACGAGGATTTCAGTACTTGGTGGACTGGGAAGGTTATGGTGCGGAGGAGAGGAGTTGGGTCCCTGCAAAAGACATATTGGATCACTCTCTTATCGATGATTACAATCGCCAGGTAAGCTCTTCTGGGAGCACCAGGAGGTGCTCGTAGGAGAGGAGGTAATGTCACGGTTGCAGGTTTGTGCGCTTCTCCGGAGTGTATGTTTGATCACGTGGGTTTGTTTTGTTTGTCCATGTGGATTTGTTAGGATCACGTGTTATGACGACACCCAGTTGGTCTGATTAGTTCGCCAGCTGAGGCTCATCATGGTGCCTATATCTGTGCAACGCTTTTGTGTGTCTGTGTCAGTTCGTTACCATCACTTATGTTTGTGCTGTCTGTGCTCAGGCCCTGAGGAGTTTGTCTGGATCTGGTTTCTCCGTTCTGTTCCTGTCCTGTGTTCTACGTTCATCTAGCCTGGCACTAATTGTTTTATTGTCAGATTTTATTAAACATTGACACTTGCATTTGGATCCTCTCTGACTCTCATTCGAAAACGTTACAGTTTAACTATACCATTGTCATCTCCATTTAAACTGCAATAGCATGATTATTATTAAATATTATGAGCTCAGCTTATAGTCATGCGCACATGCTGTACATTTCAACCAAAGAAAAACAAAAAAAAACTTTAGGACCGAATGTGCTCTTTTTAATAATGTTTTGGTCTAATAGTATTGGTCTGTCATGCATAGTGAATTATTATTACTATTATATATATTTTTTGTAATCTTCCTAGAACCATGTCAGTAAAAATTGTTTAATCAAAAATGTTGTCTCTATGTAAACAACATACCAAACTGCCTACTACACAACACTGGGTCCATTTATAACTAAATAACTTAACTAAATGTAAAACTGGTGTAATTTTCTTTAGGTTTTGTTTCATTTATGTTCTTAAACATGTTTTTTGAGACATTTGACCTGTACAAACCAAAGCTGTGTCCTCAATTCAGACAGCCAGAGGCATCACTAAACCTATGAGCGACAGTCTGATCATGCTGAAGGGTGAACAATGGAAACGAGTGCGCAGCATACTCACGCCAACCTTCAGTGCTGCCAAGATGAAAGAGGTGAGCTCTGTTTTTATACCTAAATGTTTGCTACAAAAACATTTAAGCTGTTCTCAGAAGCAATTGTTCTTGTTATGTAATCACAATTTATGGCCTTGAGTTGATAAATCAAGTGCAGCTCTATTGGAACAGGCTAAAGAACTAAAATCTGGACCCGCAGAGGATCTCATATTTCCATAACAGCCATTAAAATAGTTTTACAAAGTTGCATAAGATGCTCATAAGATGTGTAGATAAGAATGGATTCCCAAGGAAAGGTTCACACGATAAAAAATTCAATTTGGTGTGATTTATTCAAATAAGTGTACATAAGTGTGAACGATGGGATATGAACCGCGTTGAGCTCCAAACAAGTGCACTGTAAAAATAAAAATAAGTTGACAACTCAAAATTGTAAGGCAACCTGCTGCAGAACTTCTTTGAGACTTAACTTTCAACCCAAGTACTGCACTTGACTCGATTTAAGTTGAGACTCAAAAAAGCTCTGCAACAAGTTGCCTTGCAATTTTTAGTTTAGTTAACTTTTTTTTTTGTGTGGGCAGATACTGCTAAAAAGATGGGTTTCGATCTGCTTCCAGACAAACTCAAAAAAAGTGCAGTGAATAAGGACTCAACATGGACCAAAAACATCGCAATAAACCAAAAACAGAACATGCCAGCCCAAAAAGGGCAGAATGCTCAAGCATACCTCGTTTTTTTCATCATAGTTATGACGCTGCTCATTATACAGTGGCTCAATATAGAGGTTTTACCTTCTTTCTAGTAAAAATATCTAAAAATTTATTAATAATCTGCCAGTGGCAAAAGAAAAATTATTTTAAATCTTGATAATTTTACATTTTTTAAAGGAAATACAATTAATTTAGATAATAATTGCTTTTGCAATTTTTATTTTGTTTGCAGTGAGGCAAAAGATGCGTGTCTCTCTGCAGCAGATCTTTATTTGTGTGCATGACCGAAGATATTCTGATGTGGTTTTGACCCATTAATGCTTATTTTATAAGAAACATGGGCTGTTTATTGAGAAAGTTGGCAATTCTGACACTTACAGGAAGTTTCATATAGTGATTTACAATGACCACGTGACTGTTAAAAGATAAAGATAAGTTTGATTTCCCTAACCACTTTAGAAATAAAGCTTCTTTATTGCCCTTGATGGTACATTTTTATTCCACAAAAGGCTGTATTCTTCAAAATATTCTACAAAAATGATTATTTTAAGAGCTCTTCACTGAAGGATTCTGTGGAGAACTTACATATAATGTAAAACCCCTTTTGTATGTACACACCGGCCACTTTATTAGGTACACCATACTAATCCTAAGCCATTTGCCTTAATCCTTCGTTGCATAGATTCAACAAGCTACTGGAAATATTCCTCAGAGATTTTGGTTCCAATTGACATGATAGCCTCATGCAGTTGCTGCACATTTGTCGGCTGCACATCCATGATGCAAATCTCCCATTCCACCACATCCCAAAGGTGCTCTATTGGATTGAGCACTATTGGTTGCTCATTGTCATGTTCAAGAAATCAGTCTGAAATGATTTGCTCTTTACGACATGGTGTGTTATACTGCTGGAAGTAGCCATGAGAAGATGGGTACACTGTGGTCATACTGTAAAAATATGGACATGGTCAGCACCAATACCCGGGTAGGCTGTGGTGTTGACACGATGCTCAATTAGTACTAAAGGGCCCAAAGTGTACCAAAATCTCCCACACCATTACACCACCACCACCAGCCTGAACCGTTGATACAAAGCAAGATGGATCCATGCTTTTATGTTGTTGATGCCAAATTCTGACCCTACCATCCGAATGTCGCAGCAGAAATTGAGACTCGTCAGACCAGGCAATGTTTTTCCAATCGTCTATTGTCCAATTTTGGTGAGCCTGTTCGAATTGTAGTCTCAGTTTCCTGTTCTTAGCTGACAGGAGTGGCACTCGGTGTGGTCTTCTGCTGCTGTAGCCCATCCGCCTCAAGGTAAGATGTGCTGTGCGTTCAGAGCTGCTCTTCTGCATACCTCAGTTGTAACGAGTGGTTATTTCAGTTACTGTTGCCTTACTTTCAGCTGGAACCAGTCTGGCCATTCTCCTCTGACCTCTGGCATCAACAAGGAATTTGCGTCCACAGAACTGCCGCTCACTGGATATTTTCTCTTTTTCTGACCATTTTCTGTAAACCCTAGAGATGGTTGTGTGTGAAAATCCCAGTAGATAAGCAGTTTCTGAAATACTCAGACCAGCCCGTCCGGCATCAACAACTTTGACACATTCAAAGTCACTTACTTCACCTTTCTTCCCCATTCTGATGCTCGGTTTGAACTGCTGCAGATCGTCTCGATCATGTCTACATGCCTAAATGCATTGAATAGCTGCTATGGCTGATTAGAATTTTGCGTTAACGAGCAGTTCGAGAGGTGTACCTAATAAAGTGGCTGGTGAGTGTATGTCTGTAGTATCAACATGTTCCTGGATCCTAACTCTATGCACTTAAATTCTTTCCAGCGTTTTCAAACGTTTTCAAAAAATCTGACTGAATGTTGGTCCAGGAACATCCTGAAAAAAATACATTAAACCTGTTTCACATAGTGCAAAGAACACCTTCTTCCTAAAAGGACGTGAACTGGTGGATAAATGTCCTTTTGAATCCTCATCTGGGAGTCTTAACAAGCCTGTGTGTATCTTATCCTGTTCTCTGTCACTGGAGATTTGTTGTTAATGGAGGCCATATCAGGCTGCTTTCACAATGTGTAATTTTGTTGGAGCCTATTTGTACATTGTGTTGTCATTACCTCTTTCAGCATTTAGGTGGGGCAGCTTGATGATACCAGACTATCAGTTTTCCCACAGTGAGCTATAGGAACTGAGAGCTAAGAGGGTTTGACATTCCGTTTTTTTCCCCCCGCATTACATATGAGAGAACAAAGGAACTTGTTTCCTCTACAACAGCCCTGCACTTTACATGCACTCTTTTGTGATCAAATAAAACATTGAATAGGTGTAATAGTCACAGGCAGACAGGTGAGAGAACAACGAGGTTGCAATTTATAAAACTATTTAAGAGAGAAAACTATTTAAGGGTAACACATCCTGAAAATCTGACTTTTTGTGCAACTGTATAATAGAGCATCTGCAACCCAGAAAATGTCAAAAAAGACAACCCAGTAACTTTTGTTTACGCTTCTGTTTTCAAGAATGTGAAAAAAAATAATTGCTCAGAATTTGCTCCTGTAGTGATGTAGGAAGGCGGTCTAATTACATATTAGTGCCCCTTAATCTTCCCCTTAATCTCCACCCACAGCACCCCTGCAACAGTAACAGTGTTGACCCACTGTAGCAGCTAGAGGTTTACAATGTCTGCCAGAAGAAAAATAAAAACATTATAAATGTTCTGTTGTTGTACTGGTCTCCAAAAATTAGAAAAGTGCAATGGATTTGCATAAAATATATTTAACATCAGACTGCTTCACAAATGAGGGTCAATTTGGCACTGTTTCTGAAGATGAGCCTATTCTTTGTGCTCAATTTTAATATCCAGATCTGTTTTGTGATTGTTCAGACAGACATTTCTGATTGTGCACATTAACATGCTGCTATTGTGGCCCAAAGTTACCATCGTCTCTGACTTCACTCACAGACCCCAGAGTTATTTCGTTTTTATTCCAGAAAACGCTAACACAGGCTCATTGTGGATACAGACCCCTGTCTACATTTCTGGAGAGTGCAAATTATGTACCCAGAGGTACGTCTGACTGAAGTTTTTCTGTAAAACAGATGCTATTGGGCAGTATGATGCCTACCAGCTGACCACTTACCTCCATGTGGACGACTTTTCCAGGGTTACCAGTTTCCCCAGTGGCTCGCCGCATACATCGGCAGACTTGGGACGCGAAGCGCAGTTGATCATGATGACAGGGTTTCAATCCAGCGTTCAACTGTTCCAGAAACCATGTGAAATAGAAGCAAAAATAAGAAATAAATAAATAAACAAGAGGCTGAAAACATGGTGAAACCACACAACAGTTTTTCTTTTTTATAGAATGGTTTAAAAAACACTATCGGTTGGGTATAGGGAAGGGTATGGGTGGGTCAGTCATTTGACAGCAAGATGGCCTGGTCGGCTGAAGAAGTTTGAGATACACAGAGGCCTCTGGTGGATTTGCAAAAACAAAAATTCTGAGCAGGGATGTCTACTTCTAGTTACGTATTTCACTGTCCTCAGAAATGTAGACCTGGGTATATATCCGCAATGAGCCTGGGCTGGAAAGTGCTCAGAATCAACATAATTCAAAAATGCACTTTTTTTCTCCTTATTTAACCAGGAAGTCTCTCTGAAATTTAAAATCTATTTTACCTGAGAGACCTGGCCAAGATAATAGCCATACAGTAAAACTATTTTAAAATATAGGAACACCACATTGCAACATTTCATCAACATAAACAATCACATGCTTGAAAAAAAAAACACACTCTTTATAATCCTTTTAAATTCACCGAAAGACACGATTTTACCTAGTTTGAAATCTTTTTGCAAATTATTCCGTGCCCAAAGTGCACAATAAGATTTTATCATGTACTAATTTGGCTACATGATTTTAACTTTTGTTGTTTCTGGAATATCAGAATAGTGTATATAAAAGCTCCAACCTCTGTTAGAAAGCAGCAGCTCATTAATGGCCCATTTACACTGAGTGGTACGGTACGGTTCAGTATGCTTTTATGACTGTTTCCACTGTCAAAAGTTATCTAAAAGCGAACGGTATCGTACCGCTATTTGGGTACCCTTTGCAAATGGTTCCTAGCACAACAAAAGGGTACCAAAAGGCAGAGCAAGACGTGCAACTAAAGATTATTGGTTTACACTGATACGTCACTCGCTCGTGCAACAAGCCAGGAGTATGAAAACAAAGGAGCCAACATTTTTAAAAACATAGCCGAGATATTTCACTGTAGTAATACATACATATAATAACGAGCCATGGTCGACCCGAGC